GAGGATCTATTTTCTTCATAATTCATGCTACCAATAAAAAAAAAAGAAACAATGAGAGAGAGAGAGAGAGAGAGCTTTTGAGTACCAACAAATGGATTACACAAAGTGAGCTTTCTATGTACTTTTAAAAGAGTTGGGGCTTGCACTTTTTCATTCAAAAGATAATAGTGGTTGAATAGTAGCGAGAAAGAGCATCAATACTTCCATTATAATATAAAAAGAGAGCATCAAACGTCTTTTCGTTACATGCAAAATACTTGTCGCTCTGTAAACCTCATACTAACTCATAAAACGAACAAGTGATAAACTATGCATATTTTTAAGGGAAAATTATGTGTAATTCCCCATATATAACATTTCAATACATTTCATTGAAAAGTCTACTGCACTTATTACCCCAAAATGTTTTTTCGTGAGCATTTTTTAATATAATTTAACACGGAAATGACTTTTCAAAATGAAATTAAAAAGTCTACTACACTCATTACCTCCACAATACTTTTTCTTCGGCACTTTTTAATATTAATTTAAGACCAAAATGACTTTCAAATTTGAAATTAAAAAAAAAAGTACATATCTGGAATTGCCATCTCTTTGAATGTCACTTGCCCCCTCTCTCTCTCTCCCCTAGAGGCTTTTTTTTATTTCAGTCTCTCTCTTTCTCTCTCCCCTAGAGGCTTTTTTTTTATTTTAGTCCCTTGAACCTGATTGATTTTTTTATAAATTTTTTTTTTAAATACAGATGGGGATGGTGTTAGTGGTGGGAATGGAAACCATAATACGATGAATAGGGTTGTGGGGTGCTACCACCGGCCCATTTCTCGTATTTTTGTAGTGTTTATTTACGGTAGAAGTTTTCTTTTTTTTGGAGTAATTTATAGCCGTATTCCCTCCTCGTGTGATACCGATTTGTGTGTTCTAAGATGGAAAGAAGACTAGAAATAATTTCCTCGGTTCCTTTCGCACGAGTTTGTGATGGCGTCAAACGTTGAGAGAGAGGGGCATGTGGCGTGCATGGAGGACATTGAGTGAGAGAGATAGATTTGTCTTGTAGGATGAAATTTCCAATTGATGTTCTATTTTTCATTAAAAATTGACTTTTTAATCCTAAATTATATTGAAAAATACCCGGGGTAGAGGAAAAAAATCCCCTATACCACAAATTTTTTTTGGTGAGGTTAGTCAAATATAGCAGTGTTAGGAGTGCTACTCAGGTAGCGGTATACGGCGGCTTGCAGAGACTGATATGGGCCACATCTTATGGACTTATGATGCAAATAAAAAAGTGAGGTTATTTAATTTAGTTTTATATCATATTTCTTTTAATTTTAGGAATAGAAAGTCTGTTGAGGGAAGTTAGGTGTAGCATGAGTTTTATGTCGTGAGTTTTAGTAGGGCTTGAGTTGTGGTTTAGGAAATGGGTAGTGATTTCATGCAACGGTTGTATCATCGTATAATGCAACAATTTTCAAAAATCATGTTAGGCCCATTCGTTTGATCAACTTTTTGAAATATACACTCCTTTCATTTTAATGAACAATTATTAAAAAAAAAAACAAAGAAAAAAAAAAAGAAGAAAAGAAAAGGAAAATAGAAACTTAAG